AAATATATATTTATTTGGTGCTGTCTCTGATTTTTCCTTTGAGGCCACCACCAGCTTCTTTAAATCACTAATTCTTGTTCTTCAACCTATTGACAAGAGTTGGACATTCCAAAAGGACCATTGCCACAGCCATCAGAGACGGATTTGCAAATCATGGACCAATGTTTGAGAAGAAAAACAGCCTTCTGAAATGAATGGACTGTTTAAAAAGCTGTAGAAAAGTGATTGAGAGTAGCAGAAATCAAGATTCAAGAAGAGGAAGAAGAAGATGGCAGCAATAAGGGTTCAGAGAGAGATTTTCGAACATAACCTCCTCTTACACCCCTAATCCCTTTTCATTAACTTAATTTCAGTAATTTACAGAGAGGCCCTTAGTTGGGCGAATAATTAAAATACATAAAATAAGAGAAAATGCCCAAGTTGGGGCCCATTACAGCAAAGAACATAAAGAGACAAAATAAGAAAACTGTCTATGGGCCATTCGGCCCATCTTCTCTACATTCCCCCTCAAGCTGAGCATAGATGTCAATCATGCCAAGCTTGCCAATATCATGCTGAAGTTTAGCCTTGGGGATGCCCTTGGTAAGGAAATCAGCTAACTGTCCTTCAGAAGAGATAAAAGGTAGACAAACGTCTCCAAAAGCCACTCTTTCTTGAATAAAATGTCTGTCAACTTCAATATGTTTGGTTCTGTCATGTTGCACTGGATTGTGAGCAATGTTGATGGCAGCCTGATTATCACAATATAACATTAATGGCTTATCATGCTCAATACCCAGTTCCTCCATCAATGATCGAAGCCAGAACAGCTCAGAAACTCCATGAGCCATGGCCCTGTATTCAGCTTCGGCTGAAGATCTGGCAATAACTGATTGTTTCTTACTTCTCCAAGAAACAATATTACCTGCCACCAAGCTACAGTACCCAGAAGTAGATCTTCTATCATCAATATTTCCGGCCCAATCAACACCTGTGTAGGCTTCAAGTTTTATATGACTATGCTTAGCAAATAGAATTCCCTTTCTAGGAGAACCCTTCAAATAACACAGAATCCGTTCTGTTGCTGCCATGTGAGTGTCCCTAGGAGCATGCATGAACTGACTAGAGCAGCTTCCCAAGTAACCTCTGGAAGACTCCCTTATCTTTCAACAATACTCCATCTGAAGCAAAGAGTTTATGACTCATATCAATAGGAGTAGCAACTGGTCTAGCACCCATCTTCCCTGTTACAGTGAGCAAGTCAAGCACATACTTTCGTTGAGAGATAAGGATCCCATCCTTAGATCGAGCAACTTCTATCATAAGGTTTATTCTCAGGGGGAGAGTGGTGAGTTGGGTAATTCAGCTCCAAAAGTTCCATTACCTATTCCGGTCACTAAAGGGGAGAGTGGTGAAGAGGGTTGTCAGAAGTGCAGGGAATTGAGGGTGTTTCACATATGGTGGAGACAGGTTGATTTTGGTTCTCAGCAGTCCAGGCCGATCCCGGTTCCTTTTACAGCTCTAGATCCAGGTACCACCTCCACTACTGAGACCACTAAGTCCACTGTTGCAGATGATATACCTACACTGCTAAGCTTCAGCCCCTACCTTTAGATGACCTTGACCTCCCAATTGCAATTTGTAAGGGGAAGCGTCGTTGTACTTCATCCACTGCTCATTGTATCTCCCAGTTTCTCTCTTATGATGGACTTTCACAATCCTATAGATCCTTCTTGGCCTTTATTGCTACTATTCCTATTCTCAGAACAGTACAAGAAGCTTTATTAGTACCTGAGTGGAAAGATGCAATGAAAGTAGAAATGGATGCTCTTGTTAAAAACAATACATAGGAGTTGGTTGACTATCTTGAGGGGAAGAAGCCTATTGGGTGTACATGGGTGTTTACAGTGAAATATAATGTTGATGGCTTCGTAGAAAGGTATAAGGCCAGATTGATTGCAAAGGGATTCACACAAACTTATGGCATTGATTATTTGGAGATGTTTGCACCAGTAGCCAAGATGAATACCATCAGAATTTTATTATCCATTGCTGCAAATTTCCCATGGCCACTGGTTCAGATGGATATTAAGAATGCATTCCTCAATGGAGATCTACAAGAGGAGGTGTACATGGAGTTGCCCCCAGTTTTTATGGTGCAGAGGTAGGAAAGAAGGTTTGCCAACTGAAGAAGGCTTTATATGGACTGAAACAATTCCCAAGAGCCTGGTTTGATAGATTTAGACTGGCTTTAGAAAAATTTGGCTATGTTCAAGCTCAATCAAATCACACTCTTTTCTTTAAGAAAACATACTCCAATTTGACCTTTCTTGCTATCTATATTGATGATATTTTTTTTTATCAATAATCTATGTTGATGATATTGTAGTAATAGGAAGTGACATTGGTGAGATTGACACCCTCAAGCAACTTCTTCACCAAGAGTTTGAAGTAAAAGATTTGGAGGAACTACGCTACTACTTGGGAATTGAGGTAGCTAGATCTAAGCATGGCATCTTTGTCTCCCAAAGAAAGTATGTTCTTGATTTGTTGGAAGAAACTGGGAAGTTGGGACTTAAACCAACCAACAATCCCATTGAACTAAACCACAAGATAAGTGCAGAAAGTGGAGAGCCTCTTGAAGATAGAGTTATGTATCAGTGGTTGGTTGGCAAACTTCTTTATCTTTGCTTAACACGACCGGACATTTCTTATGCTGTCAGTGTTGTTAGCCAATACATGCATTCTCCCAAAACCACCCACCTTGCAGTGGAAAGGATACTTGCCTATCTAAAGAGATGCCTCGGGAGAGGTATGCTCTTCTAGAATAACGGTCACATGAAAATAGAAACATACACAGATGCTGATTGGGCCGGTTGTGTTGATGACAGGAGATCTACCTTTGGGTATTGTGCTTTTGTAGGGGGGAATCTTGTTTCTTGGAGGAGTAAGAAACAAAATGTCGTTGCTCGCTCCAGTGCTGAAGCTGAATACAGATCTATGGCTAATGGAGTGGCTGAAGTGTTATAGTTGCGATCTTTACTTGATAAGCCGGGTGTTGAATATGAGAAGCCTCTGGTGTTGTATTGCAATAATCAGGCTGCAATTAACATTGCTCATAATCCGATACAGCACGACAGAACTAATCACATTGAAGTGGACCGACACTTTATCTGAGAGAGAGTTGCATCTCAAGAAGTGTGTTTTCCATATATTGCCTCAGATATGCAGCTAGCTGATCTCTTCACTAAGGTGGTTACAAAGACCAAGTTGGAGACAGATCTACGCAAGTTGGGAATGATTAACATCTACTCCCAAGAGGGGGAGTGTAGAGATAGTTGTTAGTGTGTGTGTGGTCCCACTAATATTTTTTATATATTTATTGCATGGTAGTTATGGTAGTTAGGCTAGACATATTGCTTTATATTTATTTCTGTTTCAGAAGGGGTATTTATGTAACTCCAATACAGTTAAGATGCAAACTATAAATACTAATCTGATGGGGCGGCAGAATTATTGAACCGCACCCTTTCTTTCCCTCTTTCCTCTTCTCTTCTTCTCTTCCCTTTTTCTTCTGTTCGTGACCTTCTTTTCTCTTCTTTTTCTACTGAATCTATATCAGAAATCAATCAGTTTCTGGTCTAATTTATCCAATCCCTATAGGTATCCATATTCTTAGAAGGCTGAAATAGAGAAATTAGTGAAAGAATTATTGCAGAAACAACACATTCAGCCCAGTTCAAGCCCATATTCCTCACCTGTCCTTTTGGTTAAAAAGAAAGGTGGTACATGGTGATTTTGCATCAATTATAGAGCCTTGAACCATATCACCGTGAAGGAGTAGGACAAATTCCCAATTCCACAAATTGAGGAACTCTTAGATGAGCTGAAGGCAGCCACTATCTTTTCCAAGTTGGACCTTAAGTCCGGTTATCACTTATCACCAGCACCACAAGGCAGCTTTCAAAATGCATGATGGCCACTACGAATTTTTGGTGGCGTTGTTTGCTTGACAAATGCTCTTCTAGGATCAGTTTTCTTGGATCAATTCTGCGTTGATAGCATAATTTGGACACCTTCCCCTTCTAGTTATTTCACTTGTTCCCCTTTTTACAATGTTTTCAATCTACTAACTAGGGGTGTCAACAGTATTCGAAAATCCAATTTCAAATTCGAGATTCGACATAATCAAATCGAATTCATATATGACCTAATTTGATTCGATAAGGTTACTCATTGGTTGAAATTGGTTGAATTGTTTAGGATCAATAGGAGTGGGTGATTCACTAAGAGCAGAGGTGATGGCTTTGTTTCAAGGTGTAATGTTCACTAAACAGTTGGGCCTCCACCAAGTTGAGGTAGAAGGGGACTGTAAGTTGCTAATTGGGTGGATACAATCAGGTGAGGGAAATCTATTGCATAGCAAGGGAGATTGGAGTGTGCTTCAAATGGACTATAAGATCAGCTAATCAGATAGCTGATACCTTGGCAAAGCAAGGGACTATTAGGGATAATTTTTTTTTGGGCTGTGTTGTAACTTGTAATCTTCTAGTGTTTTGGGGTTAACACCCTTCCCTGGGGTGGTTAACAGTTGTACTTTGAAATCTCTTTTTTAATGAAAATTACCATTTCTGATTAAAAAAATGCACCTTTGATGTTCCAATCATTACTGGATGGGGCCTTTCGCCATTGTCTCTGTCGTTTATACTTGTCTTTTTTATGACATCTTAGTATATAGTCTGGATTGACAGCATCTTGCTATTACATTGTCCATCCTAAGAGACAATCAACTACATGCAAAGAATCAAGTGTGAACCTTCTCTCTCTCTCTCGGAGTAGTGCCTCAGTTGGGCAGGTTCCCAAAACATAACTTCTAGATTCCCCCAAAATTTTCTTGCATCATGTACTTTACAAGTTTACCTTCTTGTCTTGTGTGATAATGTAACACAATATCTAGAGGTACATTCCAATGAGCATAACCTTGTACAATTTCATTATAAAACCTCATTGGAACTTAACTGACCAAATGAACATAAAAATGGTGCAGGAAGATGGAATTAATCTGTTGACTGTTATTAAAGGCACAAGTACATACCGACGCTCAAGGCGACATGATTATACCTCAGATTTTATTCCTCCTACAATGACAGAATACAGAAATGCAGTTAATCAACAATATAAGTAAGTTTTCCATCACAGCACAATTACATTTTCATGGGTTTATGCAATATTTATGATGTCAACACACAAGTGCAGACTATTTAATTTCGCTACAAGCTCTGTGATGCTTTCAACATTGGAAGATGGCAAGATAGTGAGGGGTCTTGCAGGGGTTCCCAACGAAGGGCCCATTCTACTAATTGGTTATCACATGCTTATGGGATTGGAACTTGCTCCCATTGTTGAGGCATTCTTGAGGGAGAAGAAGGTTATGGTTCGTGGTATGGCTCACCCAATATTGTTTACCAAGACTGTTGAAACTTCTTTACAAGAATTCTCCCACTTTGATCACTTGAGAATCTTTGGTGCATCACCTGTCTCTCCTAGCAACCTCTATAAGTTGTTATCAACAAAATCATATGTTCTTCTTTATCCTGGTGGTGTACGTGAGGCTCTCCATCGCAAGGTATGTGGATTTTCTTTGTGTTATTTGTGATAAATCTTCTCCTTTTTCTTGCTAAAAAAATGTTTTCGTATCATTGCCATATTTTTTAATGAATGTCCTTAACAAACCCGAATGATCATTTTATTGTTCTTTTATGTATGTAGTCATTGGACATTGAAATGCTGAATTTATGTACGTACATGTGCATGTCCACTTATATGAATATATATATACGAAAAAATTCTCCCTAATTGGGTCAAATAGAGAGCTTTCCTATACAAGCCCCACTTATATCTCCCATGTGGAGGAATCCTGTGGCCAATCCAGACTGCCCTTGAGATAGGCAACGTATTTGATCAGACACATGAAATGATACCCAAGTACCCATACAAGGCTGTTGTATCATCTCTCAGACTTGATATTTACTTTTTTTACTGTAATTTCCATATTCAACATCTTGTCCAACCATGTCCTTGTCATATTTGGGTTACATAAGCCATGTGTTTAATTAATTGCACAGTCCATTTTGTCCCTATTACCCGACCTTGTATTGGAGTTTAGCCCAATTGATAATGGTTATTGGTACTTCAATTTTTTAATATAAAAGTTATCCATAAAAAGGTCCATTTTGAACGCATGGCAAGGTCTTTTGAGCTGAAAGAATGGGAAGAGAAATATGGAGACTCCTTTTGACTCTTGGAGATCCAAGTTAATTTGCTATGTGGAAGATTCCTAGGTCATCTATGGGTGCCCACTAAATGACCCAATTGTTCCCGCATAAGTTTATATTTGATTGCTTGGTAATACTTTAGCTCTCGTGTATCTTTCTTCTAATGGTTATACATGCCTTGATGATTGTCAGGGTGAAGAATATAAGTTATTTTGGCCTGATCAGCCTGAATTTGTGAGAATGGCAGCTAGATTTGGGGCAACAATTGTACCTTTTGGAGTTGTTGGAGAAGATGATATTGCAGAGGTAAGTTTTTTAATCTAATAATGTTTTATCTTAAACATTCTGTTATCCAGTACCATGTATCATAGTGGAACCCTTCTTTTTCTGGGATTTTCTTATCACTGGATTCCTCCGATCTTTTTACGTCGTTGAATTCTCTATGACTGAGATACACTATGACTGGAGGTGTGTCTTGCCAATCATGTGTATCGGGCTGATACAGGGGCATATCGGGCCATATCACATTGTATCGGCTGATACGCATCAATATGCCACGCCCTTCTACTAAAAAATGATGATAAAGGGATTTGAACCCTGGTCGCCTAGCGTGCAGCACGCCTTAATCTTAAATCGACCCTTAAACAACTAGGCCATTTTGCTTCTTATGTTAATAAGTGAGATAAAATAACTTTTATTAAATTTAGTATCTACACGTAATCCAAATAAATAACACATACTTATGTTTAACAACTCAAACTAAAAATTAAAATGAATAATATTCAAAATTAATATTTTATTAAATAATGGAATAAATAATCTAAAAATGCACACTAAAATCAAAAGATGATTTAATCTCAAGAAATTTATACAAATAAAACATTAATAATAGAATAATTATTTTAGTACTTAAATTTTATATATATATATATATATATATATATAACTGATATTTTAATTTACATTACATTAAATAACAACATATTAACTATTTACAAAAAATTAAAAAAATGTTTACGAAATATTTAAGAATATAATATTAAATAAAATCTATCAAATCTAATAAGCAACATTTATATCAAAAAAATGGTTTTTAATTTTAGAAAAAATATAGAAAACAAAAACATTGATAATGGAATAATTATTTTAGTAATTAAAAATTACAAATTTGCATATGATATGTATCTTAGAAATTTTAACAGATTCGATATATTTTAAATTGAGATTATATATTTTTATAAATTATTAATTGATATTTTAATTTGCACCTTAGAATTTAATATTTGGTTTACTTTTTGTTAATGTAAAAAAGTAAAAATAGTAAAATAGAAAATAATTGATATAATAATTAAAATATAATATGTGCATATGTTATGTGTCTTGTATTCTTGATTGATGATTATCAATAAAATTTTATGATATCCATGCATCCCGTTATATTAATTGTAATATATTTTTCATATACGCCCTTTAAATATACACTTGCTATGTATTTATACATTATTTGTCGCTGTTTGATTTTAAATTTAGTATTATTAATATATTTATGGAAATTATGTGTTTCCCTAGCATATCCAAGCGTTTCCATTTTTTTTCTGTATCCATGCATTTCGAAAGTGTATCCATATCCAAGTTGTCCGATACGATATTCAATACTGATACTCTGATCCATGGTTGGAACTGTATCTTTCATGGGATGTTAGTGCAATTCTTGCAATATATATTTGCTCTTCAAAGTTGACTTTTATTGAAAGACGCAAGTGCTTTGGGTTTGAAAAGAGTAGATGTTGGGAAGGTTTTTAAGCTTCCAACTAAATTGTCATGTAGAATATTGCTTGGTTACTTGGGGAAGCTCGGCAAGTGAGCCCACCACTTTTACCCGTTCCAACACACATTTTTCCCATTTAAATTGGAGTTTGGCTGGATTTTCTGTATTTGTCATTGAGATCATGATACACTTTAACCTACCTGGTTAACATCGATTGCATTGGATGTTGCAGCTCGTTATCGATTACAATGATCTAATGGGCATTCCCTTTGTTAGAGACTGGTTAAAGGAAAGCAATCAAAATGTTATAAGATTAAGGTAATGTTGTTCTATCCTATCATATTTGACCCTTACTTCCAGATTCATCCATAAATCTATCCATCTTCAATGGTAAAAAAAACTCTTATGATTGACACTCTTGTTACAGGAATGATTCAAGTGGGGAGGTTGCAAACCAGGACATGTTCTACCCTGGAATTTTTCCAAAGATACCAGGCCGCTTTTACTATCTATTTGGAAAACCAATTGAAACAAGGGGAAGAGAGAAGATACTACTGAAAGATAGAGAGAAAGCCAATAAATTGTACTTGCACATAAAATCTGAAGTTGAAGGCATAATGTCTTATTTGGTAAAGAAAAGGGAGGAGGATCCATACAGGGATGTCATACAGAGGACTATATATAGGGCTTTCTCAGCTCCTGCAGATCAAGTCCCCACATTTACACCATGATCTATTTTTTATTTTAGCCATGATTTAAGTTGGTATACAAGATGCAATTGTATGTTCTTTGAATATATGCAAATAAGATGAACTCTTTATGGATAGAGAGCCTAGTATTTTGGGTTGATCTAATTCTTGCCAAGTTACACTTACATAGTTGTCCTAATTCCTAAATAGCCGGTTATACCCTCCAAATATGTTGGATTTTCTGCCCTAATTGGACATTTGAATAATTGAATATAATTGTAACCTATGGATGCTACCGAGGCATATTCATCCTTTTCTGTGAGGCACTATCCTCTAATCTGATTTTGTTCCCCTTCCAATCGCTTCCACAGTGCAATGGGTTACACCAGCTGCAATCTTCCCAGTTGTTTACAATAGGCCTCTAGCCTCTTGACTTCACAAAATAGAGAATATATAATAGCACCAGCAGGCAGCAGCAATATGGCTGTAGGCTGTAGCTAGCTAGTAAAAATGAAGAAACCCCAAGTTAAATACAGGCTTTGATCCATTAATGCTCATATCACGCGGTCACGCCCTAACTACAATTAAAAAGAACAAAGTAAAAAGTAGATAATAATAGGGTTCTGTGCAAATTGTTGCCACATGCAACTTTGTTCATGATCACAAGATGGATGAATACCACCCACTGACTAGCCTAAAAATGTTTAAGCTCTTTAATTGAAATATTGCGGGACATAATTGACAATTTCCGTCTCATAATATAATATATAACAAACGAAATGTATGGTAAACTCATTTTCTATGACTGCATTGTTTGTTTCTACCTGAAACCTTTTGGGTTGATCAAGACAAATTAGTGAGAGAGATATGTGTTGTTAATTGTTATATCACATAGGAGCTTTACTTCAGTTAGAATGATTAGCCTTCATCCCCTGGATTAGCCAATTGAGGGGTGGCTCATTTGGTATGTTAGCTGGTTTGTTCCAGCATATAGAGGCGGATTCAATTCCCGCAACCACCGATTTTGGGGAGGGGGTAATTAGTGGTGTGTAAATATTAAAAAAAAAAAAAACCTGAATTTATGTTTCTACAAACAGCCTCTCACATGTGCATTTTTAAGGTATACCTATTTTAACCATAAATACAAATAACAAGTATATGTAAATTTGTATCGATTAACCCAAAATGTTTTAGATAGAAACAACAATGGTACCAAACACAACCCAAATATATGGTAAACTCAAGAGGAATGGTGTTTTGTCATCAGGAGAGATGTGCCAGCTTTCTAATGTAGCCATAGCATCACTTTAAGTTAAATTTATCAAACCAAACACAGTTTTTTCTTTTATTTGTTCTGTAGGCTTCATTTGCAGTGCACATCAAAACTATATACAAACTTTGCACTCGATACAGTTTTGCATCCATTTGTTTGTAAAGATAATTTGTGCTCGTCTGATCAAGGTTCAAAATATTGATACGCCTGATATGTCGGTATGGGCGTATCGGGCGAATCGATACTCCTTTTGGTGGTTTTTTTTTTATTTTTTTTTTCGCCAACTGGTTCAAGGGAGCCAGTTTAGGTCTTCCACCACACCCTGAACCGATCAGACCACCGATACACCCACTGTAGGGGTGTATCGGTGGGGTGCTGGATGGGCTGATACGTATCGATACTTTGAACCTTATGTCTGATACAAAGATTGTACTTGTTTCGTTTACACATTCAGCAATAATCTGAACCAGATACAAATATGATTCACACCACCTTCCTCTTACCTCAATTCTCTCATATAAAGAGGGGAAAAAGCTTGGTTGTTTCGATATAAATAGATCTGTTATCCTAGTTAGTTCTTCATTTGTCCTTTTGATTAAAATAATATTGATTGCAATTATTCTTTTACCCCACACTTATGCCAAGGTGTAAGCTTCAAAACAGCCAAAGTTGTTTTTCCCAAATAATCCTCCTAACCTCCTTCCTCACCTACTTCCTATCTTACCTTATTCTCTGCAAACAAATGAAACCATACTCGACCGTGTGGCATCCAAAAAAATAATCCAATGCCACGCCCCCCCCCCCTGAATTGATCAAATCAAAGCTAATAAAAACCCTAATCATCGTTTGCATTGTTTTCCAATTATTTTTGCTGGGCCCAACACATTTTCTTTTTGTCAGGTTCATAAGGTTATGTTTGTTTGCAATGTAAACTTTGAATCGATGTAAACTTGCACTCTAGTCCAGTTTTGCCCGTGTTTGATAGTAGTATCTTTTGTACATTGTAAATTGATGTATCATTCCATTCTAGAAAGTTTTTACATTGATAATCTATGTATGTTAACATTGATTTTTTTCAATGTAAAACTGTCCTCTCTTCTTGTCTCTAATGATTCAATCCACATTTTGTACTCTTAATAAACCATCGTCACTCTGTTTGGTTGTATTCTAAGGAGATCAACCACTAAAGCTATATTTCTTTTGAGATGATTAATAGAAAAGTTTAGAGGGGAGAAGAAAAATCTTCATATGGTGTTTATTGATCTAGAAAAAGGCATGCAACAAAATTCTTAAAAGATAAAATAGTGGGTTTTGGAAAAGGAAAGAATTTTAAATAAGCATATAGACTTAATTAAGGGAATATATTAGGGGGCAACAACCAATGTTAGAACACTAGTGGGAGAGGCTTCCGGTTTTATAGTTATGGTGGGTCTTCATCAAGGTTTAGCATTTAGCCCTTATTTATTTACATTGATCATAAATGAATTGACTAAACATATTTAGGAAGAAGTTTGATGATGCATGTGGTTTGTGGATGGCATTGGTTTATTTGATGAAAATTAATAAAGTATTAAATCCAAAAATAAGTTTATGGATAAATGCCTTAGAAACAAAAGGTTTTAAAATAATAGGACTAAAACATAATATATGACATGTGAGTTTAATACTAAATTGAGTGTAAATCGAGATACACTTAGGAATGAAGACCAAAAGATAACAAAATGTGACAATTTCTGGTACCTTAGTTCAATAATTTATAATAAAGAAGACACTGAGGATGATGTCACCTAAAGAATTAGAGCAAGATGGACAAAATGGAGGGGTGTATGTCGACTTGTATATGTCATTAAAAGGAAAATTCCATAAAACAATTGTAGAGTTAGAGCTATGTTGTATGAAGCGGGGTGTTAAACAATCAAGAAACAACATGTACAGAAAATGAATGTGGCATATATGCGAAGATAGACTAGCGAAAAAACTAAAATGGATAAGATTAGGATTTAGGAATGAAGTTATATGTTGAAATGTAGGGTAGCTCCAATAAATGTTAAAATGAGAAATGGTAAATTAAGATGATTTGAGCACATGTATAGAAAGCTATCAACTACATAGTTAAAAGAAATAATTTATTACACGTTGAAGAGGCCAAAAGATCTTGAATAGATAAAAAAACGACATGGGTAGAAATAGTAAAAAATAATTTAAATATTAATAATTTTACGGTCCATATGGTCAAAATAGGATTCATGCCTACAGCCTACCGCACATAATTGGGATTGGGATAATGTTGATGATCAGACCGGCACGGCACGGCCCGTACCACCCTCCTCGTTGAAAATTTTGGGGGTCGGCCCGGCACGGCCTAGGCCCGTGTGGGCCCGTGTCGTGCCTGGGCCGGGCTACAAGCCGGGTTGTGGGCTTGGGCTGCGTCAGGCTAGGCCACAAGGAGGGCCTTGGGCCTGGGTCGAATCAGGCTAGAATGACTTTTTGACTTTTTTTATTTTTTTTTTAATTTTTTATTTCTTTTCTAAGTAAAAGTGCAAAACGGTAAAACTAAAATATTTAACTTTCCTTTGAGCTTTGGAAACTATTTGAAAAAATAAGAATGAGAAATCTAACACATAAATGAAAAAATACTTAACCAAATAAGAATAATGGAATAAGAAATTAAAAGAAAAAAAGGAATTTTATTTTATTTAAATTTGAATGATACAAATTACAAAGCATGCAATATTACAATGGTTGGATACTTGGATGGGTGAAATATGAAAATAGAATAAATTAATAAAATATAAAAATACAATATAGTTACAAATTGAAAATACAAAATTATATTGTTAAAAAATAGCAAATAAATTAAATAAAATTAAAACAAAATTTACACTAATTCGAAAAAAATAAAAAATTCTATACAACTAGTCAACTATTGTTCATGAATCATGACTTTCATCATCTGCTTCGAGTGGAATATTTGATGTAATGTCATGCCCTCCTTTGTCTTGTAATATATCTTCTGCATCCAGTCAATCCTTAAAGCAGATGCACATCTCTATACTTTCATTGTTCATGCAGCTTCTTTTGTCATCCAGCACCCTAGTACTTGCACTAAAACAAGACTCTAATGGAACTATAGACATCGGAGGGGTTAGTAGATCACATGCCATGGCGGCGAGAACTGGATAATTTTTTAAATGTTCACTCCACCAGGCTAAAATATCAAAATTATTTGTTCCCTCGCCTAAAGTAGAAAATTTTGCTTGTAAATAAAAATTAAATTCAGTAAATAAACTTGTTGTAGAAGTAGCAGATTTATGCCTTCTACTTATTAAATAAAAAATATTTTCTCTTCTACTACTAGGCTCAAGATCAGAAGTAGAAGATGTTGTACAAGTTGTAGGATTATTTCCTACTGCTTCAGATTCATATAAACTATACATTTCAAATAATAAATTATTAAGTTTTTCTTTTTTATTTCCAATTTCAATATTCATATTTTCACAATATGTTTCAAGTAAAATATCTAAACCATCTTTCCTAATCCTAAGATCTAATATTGTAGCTAAGCAATAAAGGGGAGAAATGTTCTCCAAATAATTTTTAAATTTATTTTTCATTGTTTCAACAATACATTTAAATTGTAGATTATTTCTATATTTTACAAAACAAACACTAGTGATCATTAATTGATAAGGTAAATTACAACTAGTTGGATAATAAATACATGACAATACATTAGTTGCATCATAAAATGTTTAAAAAATCTCTTATACAAACTGTTATTTCCCAATCTTCATCAAATATAATATCATTAGGAATTTTTGAATCATAAAAATGAGTAAGAATTTGTTTGTGAGAAATACTACTTTCTAACATAGTATAGGTAGAATTCCATTTATGTTTAACATCTAATATAAAATGTTTATATTTTAAACCATAATTTTGGCATAAATATTTAAATTATTGTTTTCTTGCCCCTTAACTTTTAATATATATAATACAATTTCCAATTT